TGCAGTCTTTCCCTCCCTACTAGCGTGCCCACCTCACCCCAAATTTTGGTATCATCAGCAAATTTGAACAGGTTGCTTTTCACCCCATCGTCCAAATCGCTGATAAAGAAATTGAGCAGTGCGGGCCCAAGGACCGAGCCCTGGAGGACTCTGCTGCCCACTTCCCCCCAGGTCGAATATGACCCGTCTACCACCACTCACTGAGTACAACCCTTCAGCCAGTTTGCAATCCATCTGACCGTGTAGGCATCGATGCCACAGTCGCCTAGTTTTTTAATGAGGATGGGGTGGGAGACAGTGTCAAAGGCCTTGCTGAAGTCCAGAAAGACTACATCCATGGAGACACCTGCATGCAATGCTTTTGTGACCTGATCGTAAAAGGCAATCAAGTTGGTCTGACATGACCTTCCCCTAATAAAACCATGCTGGTTGCCCTTGAGCATCATCCCCGATGCTGGCCCATCACAGATGTGCTCCTTGATGATCTTCTCAAAGAGTTTTCCCAGGATTGAGGTAAGACTGATGGGCCTATAGTTGCCCAGGTCCTCCCTCCTCCCTTTTTTAAAGATGGGGACCACATTGGCTATCTTCCAATCATCTGGCACCTGGCCCGAGCACCATGAGCACTCATAAAGCTGTGCCAAGGGCCATTCAATAACCCTTGCTAGCTCCCTCAACACCCTGGGGTGGAGAGCATCTGGACCTGCTGATTTGAACACGTCCAGCCCCTCCAGAAGCACTCTAGCCTGGTCCTCCTCAACCTTAGGCCTGGAAGCATTCCTCTCGAGTCTGTCTTGAGGGGAATGCCTCAAGACACCTCACTTAGGGAAGGGAATCTGTCTTTTATATTTGGAAACTGCTAGAATGGGGATAGGCAACCCCTGACACATGCCAATTAGTGGCATGCAGAGATATTTTCCTGGCATTTTCATTGACATGCCAGGAGGTGTGTGAGAAAATGTTTTTAAAAAAAAAAAAGATTTTTAAGGTGCTGCTCCAGGCTCTCTAGAGCAGCTACAAGTCTCAGCATCATGGCAGACACCAGGAGTGAAATCAGGAGAACACATGCAAGGATGCAGTCTGCATTCTGCTGCCCTATCCCCGGGCTGTGCTCTCCAGCCCAGCCCAACCCCAGGAGGGAAGCTACAGGTCGGCAAGGCATCCTGGGCCCGGGGTCCCCCCACTCTAGCCAAATTCCTAAACCTCAAGTGCCACACAGCCCATCAGAGCCAGAATACACCCTCTTCCCACCATGGGACTGGGCCACACCCCCTCCCTTCACATCTAGATCAGGGCCGGGCCATGCCCCCTTCCCATCCCCTCTGTCCCACCCCATGTGGGACCAGTTGGGGATGGGCTATGCCCCCTACACCTCCTCTGGGTTGGGCCACAGCCCCTTCCTCCCCCTCCTCCCCTGTGGAGCCGGATTGGGGCTGGGCCAATCCCTTCCCCCCCCCCGCAGG